GTTTGTATGGTTATCCTGAATTTTATTTTGTAGCCAATTGCATTTAATGTGTACTTGTATTTACCTTCAATATGTTCATTTCTAACTGTACCTTGTGTTGCTATGATCCATTTGTACTGCAGACTGTGTACTTTTTGTTACCACGGTTTGTGTATATTGTAAAATTTCATTCTATCTGTGGGATCTTTTACTTTTTTTTGCAAGGATCAAAATTGCATGAAAGACTGGCTAGCATTTCATTTTGTATTTTCTAATTTCAATTTTGTATTCTATTCTGTTTTAATTTACGTAATTTATCTAACTTTTTTATAGTTTTATATGGTAACAATTTTGATTTTGGGTTTAGTTTGATTTAATTCATGGTTTAATTTTAAATTTTCAATCAAATCAGTTTATTTTATAGTTCTTTTTCTATATCCAGGTATGTAATCAGTTTATTTGTTTTGATTGTTACTGTTTATTTGTTTCACTACTTTCACTTGTGAATGAATTTTTATTTTTTACATCCCCCAGCTTTTCTTATAGTTTTGTAATTTAAGATAAGTCAATAATCATTTCTATTTGTTTCGGGCCGGGCATGGCTCAACGGTTAGCGTACCCGTGTTGTTAGTCCGAGGAATCTGATTTGTGTCCGTTTCTGCAAAACGCGCTTCTCACTTTGGGGCCGCATATGCACTTTAAGGTCACGATCAAACCTAGCTATTCGATCACACAAGAGTAGTCCAATAGCTGGTGGTGGGTGATGTTAATTAACTAGCTATCTTTTCTATCTGTGTGTGTGTGTGTGTGTGTGTCAGTAGTCTAATAGTTGGAATCGAGGGACAGCTGTGCTCCGATAGCCCTTTGTGCGAAATTCTGAAACGAACAAAAGACTATTTGATTCATGATTTCTTTAGTGTTCTAGTTTGTTTTTTGTAGACAGTTGATTTTAACTTCATGTTACAATTTGGTCTCATAGACTGTTTAATCCTTTTTTAAAAATATGTTCAATTTATTTTAGTTTAAAATCATAAATAACATTCAATGTTAAACTGTTACACAATTAAAAACATTTTATTTAGGCCTATCTATGGCCTTCAAAAAAGTTGACGACTCTACATGTTTCAACGTCATTCTCAAGAGTGAATTACAAGGCAATTGCCAAAGTATTTATAACTTGTTAGTAGGTCATTGACCTGTATGTTATTTTTCATACATTCACGCTAAACCATTCAAAGGAGATCAATCCACATTCTTGCAGAAATATTCACCATACCTTCATCTCTATTTAATACTACATGATCTTTTTTATGTTTTATTATTTCTAACGATTCACGAATATTATTACCTATTATACTTTTAGGTTGAGCTAATATTAGTTTTTTCCCATAATATTGTGTGTTGTGTTTCCTGTACATGTTCTGCTATGGATGAATTTTCAGTTTTTTTATTTTTTTACATATCAATTATGCTCATTTAAGCGGTATTTTAAATTACGTTTTGTCTGGAATATATAAAATAGAATGCGAATGTGGAAGTATTTACATTGGTCAGACAACACTATAACATAATGTTACCTCACTTTCACACAAGCTGACATAATTCTAACAAGCAAACTTATAATACTCTAAAATAGAAACTTTAAACATTCTAACACAAGAAGTTTCAGCACTTTCACATAATTTTACTACACTCTTACCTAAAACCTGACACACTTCTAACAAATAAACTTATAATGCTCTAACATAGAAACTTTAAACATTCTAACACAAGAAGTTTCAGCACTTTCACATAATTTTACTACACTCTTACCTAAAACCTGACACACTTCTAACAAATAAACTTATAATACTCTAACATAGAAACTTTAAACATTCTAACACAAGAAGTTTCAGCACTTTCACATAATTTTACTACACTCTTACCTAAAACCTGACACACTTCTAACAAATAAACTTATAATAGCTCTAACATAGAAACTTTAACCATTCTAACACAAGAAGTTTCAGCGCGATAGCGTGCATTTTTTTTATTATCAGTTATTCCTTTATCTAAACAAAATAATAAACTAAATCGGGGCTCGATACTCGTGTTGGGCACAGCACAGATAACTCATTGTGTAGCTTTTTGCTTAACAACAAACAAACTTATGTTACTACCTATTCGTCAAACATCTATAGAAATTAAGAAAACATTTATAGAAATTAATTACGTTGTCGTAATCAGATAAATATATGAATAACCACACGAGTATATAAATGAAAGCCTTGTACCGTCTGTTATTTGTGTCGTTAATCTTAATTGGAATTAGTAACATTTTCTGCGCCAAACGAAGTCGCTTCTTTTGAAGAATAATTAATTACTAGGTTTAGTTGAGCATGAGGAATGTTACAGTCTGACAAATTATACGTTTTATAGATTAACGTACACTATTAGAGACGCTAAGAAAGAGAATACAGTGTGAAATATTGTACCGTTTTACTAATTAGTCAATTAATGTACTTAATCAGATTTATGAGAATGAGCGAAAATTTTACAGTCTGATAAATCATACATTTGATTAAGTAACTAAAGTATATAATTATATTTATGAAGCTGGGATAGAAAGAACGCTGAAGACTCACAAATTATTCGTTTTATTAATTACTTAATGCAAACAAATAGATCTATGAAACTGAGAGAGGGAGAGAGAGAAAACATTACGGTCTGGCCAATTATATGTTTTATGAATTAATTAATGTACATAATTAAATTTATGACGTCGAGAGAGAGCGTTATAATTTTGAAAAGTAAATTTTGTTAATTAGCTAATATTCGTAATTAAGTCTAAGATGTTATGATTATTTTGTTATTTTATTTTTGTGAACAGTAAAAACGTATTACCTTATTAAAAAAAAAACAGAAGACATTTCCTTTGCGTTCCTGCTCCACGTTATTATCTTCCAAAGAAGTAGGTTGGAACCACTGGAAATATATTACATAATAGACTACGTCACTCCAATATGAGGCGTATAATTTACCAGTTATCTTTTAACTATCTTATCAGAGTGCTACCTCAGGGTCAACGCTGTTATGACTAACAAGGTCAAACATTAGTTTGTGATTAGTTTGATTGTCCCCTTGCCACATTTGCATTGCTTTCTATAAGAGCCACCTCTATCCACTGCGTGTTTTTAAGGTCCGGGCGTGGTTAGCGATCAGCATGTCGGGCTGGGGATTAATGGGTCTAGGGTTCGAGACATGATGCTGCTAAACATGCCGTGCACTTGTTTATTTGTTTTTGTTGAGCTTCGCGCAAAGTTATTCTAGAGTTATCTGCGCTAGCCGTCCATAATTTTGACGAGATAGACTAGAGGGAATGCAGCAAGTCAAACCCACCGCCACATCTTGACCTACTCTTTACAAAAGAATAGTGGGATTGACCATCACATTATAACGCTTCCTTCCCACGGATAAAAGATCTATCGTGTTCAGTGACGGGATTCGATCCCGTTACCCCCATATTGCAAGTCGAGCGCCTTAATCACTAGGTCATGCCAGACCCGTTCTAAAGTTTCAACTTTTATAAAAGTAACAATCAGTCCTGTTATTTAGTTCAAGAATCGAACAAGAACATGTGGCTTCGGATGCTTTAACCAGGTTACCTTCTTTCCGGTCAGTATTTCAATATTAGATACGGTTATGCCTGAATCCTATGGGTCTCTGACCTCGCCATTTAGCCCACGAGCACATAATGCGCCGTGAGGGTTAAAAATGCCAAATTTTTGTTCTCTGTCTTCACGTGTTTCAAATTATCTTTTTATTTCTGATTGTTTTTTGTTGCTATATGGTGTATCCGGTTCTAGTTTTGTTCTAAATATTATTGTTTGTACTCCTATGTTATTCAAGTTCTCGCTCTTCTCTATACTGACTACTGTCGTTGTTTCTGTTCATTAATTCTAATCTAAATATTGTCGTTATTTGTATTCGATAAAGTTGTTCTAGATGTTATCGTTGTTTGCATTCATTGATACCACGAGGCACTTTATGATCAATTTTGCATAATTCCCACTAAAGCAGAAGACAAAACTCTTTACAAAAGAATAGTGGGACTGACCATCAAAATATAACGCTGTTGAAATATTTAAGTTCCATAAAATTACAACAATTTTAATTAAATACATAACATTATATCACAACAAGTCCTTAAAAAACGTTCCGACCTTATTTTCAACCAAACTTATATCGCTATAATTAATAACATTCCTAAAACATTAGAATAACCTCTTTAAGAGTTTTCTCTATAAATTAAAGGTCAACTACCAGAATATGTTTTACTCAAGTTATTGCTTTGGAAGTTTAACTGTGTAGGCTAGGCTTATATCAGACAAACTAAATAAAGAAGAAGAAAAAGAAAACAACGACGCTATTGGTAAAATCTTTAAAACCTAGTGTATTTTTAATTTTCAGTAAAAGCAAAAGCTTTTTGTTGATGTATTAAGCAAGTTTCTATAAACACGAAGCTATTTGTAAAACCAGTAAAACACTGCGGACTTGCAACTTTCATCGAAACGGAAAACGCTTTCTGATACACTAATAATCATATGAGACTTTATCTGTGTGCAAGTGAAGTATTGAACTAAAATGTATAATTGATTTTTTTTTCATTGTATGACATACTAACGTTTTGAACGCAGACAGACATCGGATAACAACTAAATGTATCATTATCAGAAAACCCAAAGAACCCTGTACCACTAGATATGTACTTATATATCCAAAAGTTTATACAACCACGTTTTCTGAAATTAGCTCACTTCTAAAGATCAGTGGAGCTTCAACCAATGAGAGTCTCGAAGTACATCGCTGGTCTTTTAGGGAAAGAGTGAAACGTGAAACCTCACCGTTTCAGTATCCACCCTTCCACTTCAAGGGGACGGAAGAGAAGATGGGAGTTATATATAGAAACTTGAATGTAGACGTCAGAAACAGCCTCTTTATTCGTCATCTCTTGGCTCAAGTCCGACGAGTGTGGATAATACGTCGAAGGAATAAGTTCAAATCTTTGGTACAATTGACCACATCTTGCTGTGGGCCCTTGTTTTTTAGTTTTTGTTGGTGTTTTAATCTAATGCTTCATTTGTTAAAAGTGTAAAGTGATTTATTTTCAGTTGGACATCACGTGATACAGGAGATACATATTTAAAAAAACACATACCAAGCAGGTAAGAATTGTCAGTAGATTCTCGTGTTTTATAGAAGAAGAAAATGATGAGAGAAAACTCTAAAGCTGTATATCATATCAGAACGCATAAATGACAGTAAAAAACTTCAGGAGGAAAAAGAGTGGAAATGAGATTATAACAGTCAACCTATGTTTAAGTGAAATATTATCAAACCGTTTGAAATTAACTGACTTAATATTTTAACTTTTAATTTGTATGAATGAACTGTTCTTAAATTTCTTAAGCTACTCTTATTGTTACATTAATAAGGAAATTCTTATTTTTACGTTACTCTCACATAGATACATCATTTTTGTATGTCTGTTTAGATTTAAAATTTTAATACCCTTTTTTATTTTTAAAAACTTGAACAAAGTTGCCTATCGAGCCTGATCTTCAAATTAGAAAAAAAAATTCTAGGAAAAAAAAAATCAAAAGGAAATTTTCACAATTGCATGCACCTGTCGATAGGTTAATGTCCTTTGACAACAGATTCTAGATTGTTGAGAAACATTCCTTGAGTAAACACTCCACCAAACTGTAGAGTGGATGTACTTAGTGAGAACTGAGCCAGCGGTATCCACGTTGAAAAAAATTAAACGAACATGCCATTTTACATATATTATAGATGGATGAATGGGTGGATGGATAGATAGATAGAGGGATGAGTGGATGGATGGGTTGATGAATAGATAGATAGATAGCTTATTTAATCCAGCTCTTACAATCTAGAAAGTGAAATCAAAACGTTAAAAGCAACACAATGAAAAAAACATCAAAATTTATAACATACATTTTTATCAGTTCTTAGTACAGTTGGATGGGGGGTCATACTGAATTACCTTGAATTGATATTAAATGAAGTAACGAACTAAGATAAAAGTGACCCCCAAAAAACATTATTTTATGTCGTGGTAATCAGAACTTAAACGGTATATACGCGAAACGTTCTTACTGGATATTGATTTCTCTACACTCGTGGATTCGATACACGTAACACAACCTACAAATACTTCACGAGTGTCACGAGGATAAGCTACTGTTATATAACACTACTCAACAAGTTTCCATCTTATCACTGTCTGTTTCTTTGTTGTTGTTTTTTTTTAAATGGTTGTTTTCTCTAGTTTGTTCTTCAAAAAGAGAAATGATGTTTATGTTGTGATATTTCCACAAATCAGTTAATCATTAAACTATCAGCATGTTTTTTAAAATAAATCTCACTAAATAGGCTTTAGTCCTTAATCTTGCTTCAGTACAACACAAAATAAATTAGCTCATAAAGTTGAATTTGGTTAATTAAAAACATGTTATGCTAACTAAAAATTAAATAGTAACATTGTACATTCTGTGCCTTAAGTTTTTCCATTCTATATACATTTCATTAGGTTCGTCTTACAGATTCGTTTAGATCCTCACTTACAGAATAATCAGACTCATTTAGTCCTTAAAATCTTACTCTCACTTATAGGAAGATCAGACTCGTTTAGTCTTAGAATCTGACCCTAATTTATCCATTAACATTACAATAACTTGAAATACAGCGTTGAGCAAAGTTTATATATATATTATATCTTGGAAGCAGGCATTGTCTAATGGTTAGCGAGCAAAGCTGTAGATTAGAAGGTCAAAGTTTGAGCCCACTACATGTCGCCGCATATTCTCCGTACTTTCAGGTGTGGACACCTAGTAAAGATGACAGCCGGATTCGCTATTCAGTTACGTGTGGCTGCTCAAACTGTGATTCTACTGACTGTTTGTCCGCCCTCTGGTCAGTAATTAAAAATCAATGATGGCTATTCCTGAATCTTGAAGTTTCTGGCAGATTGTTTAGCTCAGGTGTTGCATAAGGTGTCTTTCAAATTGAAAATACCAAACAGTGTATTTTTCTATTTTTGGTTAGACGTTGGAAATAAATAATGCTTATATCGCTGGTTGTTGCAATACTAGATTTTCCCTCTATGAATGGATTATAGTTTATGGTTGCACAGTAATGCCAGAACGTCAATGATGAGAAAGAAGCTTTAGATGTTATGGTGTATGATTGATTTATTAGTTTTTATCAAAATTGTCTACAGATTACTCTGAGAATAGAAAAAATTTAAAAGTATTTGGAAACTTAGACGAAAAGTAATTTGTTCAATTCTTAGACTGAACCATTTATATTATCACTGATAGCCAGGCTTTCGTTTAACTCAATTTTTGAAAATAATTTCAAATTCTTGAATTTCAAAATACTGTAGTTGCATTTCTTCGGTATTTCTGTCTAAATCACTCCGTTTTTTAAAGGAAAATTCCAAGGTAGATAGAAAATACTAGAGAAACTGTAAAATAAATAGAATATCTAAAGAAATGCTTAGGAAATAATGATTCATTTCAGCGTGAAGCATGGTAGAAAAAAAGAGAGTGAAAATCTGATTTAACTAAGTTCAAAAGTAGAAAATAAAATAAATCCAAACCTCTAATAGTTCCTTTTTCAACTTATGCATTATATAGGAATGTAAGATTTGTCGACATAGGTAGAGCGAATTTAATTTTTTTAAGTAAACAAAGAGTAGAATTTAACAATTAAACCATGGCGTCAGACAAGACTCTATGGTAAGTTTTAACAGTTAAACCATGGCGTCAGACAAGACTCTATGGCAAGTTTTAACAATTAAAGCATGGCGTCAGACAAGACTCTATGGCAAGTTTTAACAATTAAAGCATGGCGTCAGACAAGACTCTGTGGTAAGTTTTAACAATTAAACCATGGCGTCAGACAAGACTCTATTGCAAGTTTTAACAATTAAAGCATGGCGTCAGACAAGACTCTATGGTAAGTTTTAACAATTAAACCATGGCGTCAGACAAGACTCTATGGTAAGTTTTAACAATTAAAGCATGGCGTACAGACAAGACTCTATGGCAAGTTTTAACAATTAAAGCATCGCGTCAGAC